CCCGGGGCCGCCCCGGGCGCCCGCTCGAGGCGCCGTCCCACGCAGACCCGCCGTGGGCCTCGGCTTTCTCGATGGTGTCCTTGACGACGTTGACGGACGGGAAGCTGCCGTCGCACTTCTGCACCGAGGCCGCGATGTCCGTCATGGTCATGCCGGCGAGGCTGCCCATGTAAATCATGCCGCGCTGGAAAGGCGTCAGCCGAGCGTGCGACGCCTTCGCGGCGGCGCGGCCGCGCGCAACGCGGCGGGCCACCATGGCCCCGCGCGGGCCGCCGCGCGGTGGAGTCCCTGCGCGAGGCGAGGCTTGCTTGAGGAAAAACTGCTGCGGGCACCGCATCTGAGCCCCCCCAGCGACGTCGTCTCGGCAGACATGCATCTGAGTTGTAAATTTACAGCAAGTACGGCCCCCAGGGGCGTTCTGTATTGTTTTTTACACACCAAATGGCCCCGTAGTTGTTATGTAGTTGTTTGCTTTTTAAGAAGAAAATTTTTTTCTATTTGAAAAGCCAACAACTACATAACAACTACGGGTCCATTCTGTGTAGCAAAAAATAGGGTCCGGTGGCTCAGGCGGCTGTAGTTGCTGTGATTTACACTGAAGACGGCCTTGGGCGGGCGGCGGCGGGCGGCGGCGGCGGCGGCGGCGGCGGCGACGGCGGCGGCGGCGGCGGCGGCGGTGGCGGCGGCGGCGGCGGCGGTGGAGGCGGCGGCGGTGGCGGCGGCGGCGGCGGCGGCGTGACGACGGTTTTCTGTTCGTCGCGTGCGTCAGTCACATGCCCCCCAGGAGGTCCGCTTTCAAGCGGTCGAATTCTGCCTGCTCGAGTGCGCCGACGTCTAACAGGGTCTTGGCTTGCGCTAGCTTTGCCACGCAGTCTGCTGCGAGCCGCGCCCTCTTGGCGGCGGGCTCCTCGTTCTGGGCAGCGGAGGCGGCGGCGGCGACAGGTCCGGGCGCTGGCGCGCCGCCAGCCGGGGCGTTGCCTGCTGGGCCGTCCAGGAAGGCCTTCCCCTCCAAGTACAACCGGGCAGAGCAGTGGGGGCAGACCCGTTTCACCTCCTGGCGCATCTCTGCGGGGATCTCCTGCGGGAGCCAGAGGTACTTGATGCGCTTGCGCATCTGCGCGATCTCGTTCACCACCTCCTCGTTGTACCTCTTGAGCGTGACCTCGCTGGGGCTCGTCAGGAAGACCGGGGCGTCTCCTTCGAAGACAGTGTTCCCGCCCCGCTGCTTCGGCACCGCTACCTTCACAGGCGACCCCTCTAGGAAGTCCTTGAAGAATGCCCATGGCATCCACTCGGGCGCTTTCGAGTCGTACTCGAAGTCGTTCAGGAAGACTACCTCCGCGGTGAGCAAGTCCTCCAGCTGGTGGGAGCCGCTGTCGGGTCTTTCGTAGCACTCGAAGAGGCCTCGCAAACCCTTCAGCAAGAAGCTCTTTCCGCAGTCTGGCGGCCCCACCAAGCAGATGTTCCTCTGCTTGGCCCGGCCTGCTCTCATAGCCCCCAAGAACTCCCGCTGGAAGGGCCCGTCCAGTGAGTTTGCCCGAAGCACTTGTTTCATCATGCCGAAGCACCAGCCAGGGCTCGAGCACGAGCAAGTCTTCTTCGAGACGAACTCCTCCAGCAGCTGCTCGCGGGTCAGAGCTGCGCGCCGCAGCTTTTCCTTCGAAGCCGCAGCCTGGGCCACCTTGGCCAGGGTTGCCCGGGCGTCGTTGTCAACAAGGTACGATAGCAGCGCCCTGTCGCCCTGCTCGTTGAGCTCGGTGGCCCTCGCCCAGACCTGGTCGTACATGCGCAGGTTGTGCTCGACGCACGTGTCGTAGAAGGCTAAGTTGGTCACCCGGACTTTCCGGACGAAGCCTTCGCCCTGCAGCCGGCGAGGGACGACCTGGTTCACTGGCGTCGGCGTCCCGGCTTTGTGCCACTGCACGAAGTCCGCGTCCAGGCCGGACTCCTGCTTGTGCTCGGAAGCCACCGTGCCGTAGATGACCCCCTCCTGCCACGTCTTGATATTCCTGCCGAACCCGACGTGGATCCGATGGTGCTCAAGCAAACGTTTGGCGACTGGCAACCACCTGTACTGCTGGTCACACCGAACGAGCAGGTTCAAGTGCGGGCGGCCATCCGCGTGCGGCTCCAAGAAGCATATCGTCTCCACGACGTCCAAGTCGCAGTGGGCATGCGCTGCCGCGCACGCCTCTCTGAAGGCTTCTCTGGTGAAGTCCTTCGGCTTCTTGATCCCCTGCGCTGCGACGGTCTCCTCGGAGGGGCAGGCCATGCGCATCCAGTAGACATGCTGCCCGTTATGGCCGGGCCCGCGCTGGGCGGGGCCGTCGAGGCGGGGGGCCGCCATGGCCTGGCAGGCCCAGAAAATCCTTAAGCCGAAATGGGATACGGCGCGGAGGCGAGCAGAGGGGAGAGGAGAATGGAGGGATATGGAGGTGCGGGGGCATCGTATGGAGAAAGCTGGAAGTCCGAGCATGGGATCGGGAGAACCTGCAATGATCCGCGTGGAAACGAACAGCCGCGCGTAATGCCTGCGAGGGGTATGACGGCCACGCGGATGTGCAGTTCGGCCTTCCAGACAGCCTCAGGATTCCTCTTAGATTTCAACTTTGGGTATTCTGCTCGCTTGCGTTCAGACACACGCTCATGCATACTCACTCTTCCACGATCACTCCCGCCCACGCCAGCACACGCCCAGGCCCACTCATATCCCAACACCACTCGCGTCCAGACCCAACTGGTCTCGCCCTGCGCAGGGGCTCACTCGCACGGAGCCACTCAGACTCCCTCCGCCCCGCGCAGGGGCTAACTCGCACAGAGTCACTTGGACTCCCCACGGGGTGACACCTGCCGAGGGCACGCGACAACCGCCCTCCAAGTACCTTCAGCACTCTGGGAGGCCCCGAGGCCTCCACTGGGATCCCCACCGCCTGTCTTGCCGCTCGGGCCGTGGCGTCGGTAATCCCGAGTTGCTGAAGGCCCCAGGGGGGGTCTTCGCGCGCCCTCGGCGGGTGTCTACTGGAAAAAAGAACGCAACATTAAACATTCTAACAGATGCGAGAGCGCGCGAGCGCGCTTTCTTTGGGGCAGCGACGCCAGTAAGAGCGCGGGGGCAAGGGTTTCGCGAGTGGGGCGGGGTTCGAATCCTCAGAGAAACCTGAGCCTGTCTGTTGGTGCCATTCCCCTGAACTGAAATTCGAAACTGTCTGGGCTGGCAACTGGCGCGTCGATGATGATGCCACTGCTGCTGGTGGCAATGACGACGATGGCGACGATGATGAGGCAAGCGAGTCCGATGATGACGCTTTTTCCAGCTCAGTGCTTCGTGCGCGCGCCTGGAGGCTTCGCCTCCCAGACGTCCTGCGCCCACTCCTTCTGCGCGTGGCACAGGTACCACAAGTATTCCGCCCTGTTCGCATTCACCCACGCAACGGCGCGGTGCAAGCGACGCAGGAAAACTGGGCGAGGCTCCGGCTTCGCCGGCATCGTGCCGTCCATTCGTGCCTTCACTTCGCGCCAGGCCACCTCGATGGGGTTGAGGTCCTGGCTGCACTTCGGGAACTCCTCCAGGAGGTGGATGTTCTCGTCCTCCAAGGCGTCCTGGGACTCGTCCGACCACAGACAGCGCTCGTGGTCCTGCACCAGGAAGACGCGCGTGGCTCGGGAGTGAGCCGCGTCCAGCCACTCGCGGAACTTGTTCTCGATGATCCAGGTGTACCACTCCGCGTTCATGACCTCGCCCTGGGGCAGCACGTAGACGCAGAGCATCCCGGCGAAGAGCAAACCCCAGATGCGCACGCAGCGCCCCTGGGCCTTCGCATATGAGGAAGGACCAACGCAATCCTGGTAGAGCGCGTCGTGGCCATCTGCTGCCCGCCACACGTGAGTTCCAAGGGCTGCCCGCCCCTTGTCCAAGTGCTCCTCGGCCGTGCGCGCCAAGTAGAAGGACGTTCCGTCTGTGTACGCCCACCGCGAAAGCATGGCCGGAGTCTGTGACACCGTGAATACCACCCACGCCAACCTGGCCGCCATGTGCTCCTGGGACAAGAGCGTCTTCCGCCGGCGGCGCAACCAGCGCAATCCAGCTTCCCGAAGGCGCCTCTGCACTGTGCGGACGCCGACTTTGCGGGCCGCCTTGATCACCTGGCGGACGTAAGTGGCGGTCACGACGGCGCTGCCGCGCATTTTGTGCACCAGCTTGGAGATCTCCCTGTCGAGGGTGCCGAGCGTCTCCCGGGGCCGCCCCGGGCGCCCGCTCGAGGCGCCGTCCCACGCAGACCCGCCGTGGGCCTCGGCTTTCTCGATGGTGTCCTTGATGACGTTGACGGACGGGAAGCTGCCGTCGCACTTCTGCACCGAGGCCGCGATGTCCGTCATGGTCATGCCGGCGAGGCTGCCCATGTAAATCATGCCGCGCTGGAAAGGCGTCAGCCGAGCGTGCGACGCCTTCGCGGCGGCGCGGCCGCGCGCAACGCGGCGGGCCACCATGGCCCCGCGCGGGCCGCCGCGCGGTGGAGTCCCTGCGCGAGGCGAGGCTTGCTTGAGCAAAAACTGCTGCGGGCACCGCATCTGAGCCCCCCCAGCGACGTCGTCTCGGCAGACATGCATCTGAGTTGTAAATTTACAGCAAGTACGGCCCCCAGGGGCGTTCTGTATTGTTTTTTACACACCAAATGGCCCCGTAGTTGTTATGTAGTTGTTTGCTTTTTAATAAGAAAAATTTTTCTATTTGAAAAGCCAACAACTACATAACAACTACGGGTCCATTCTGTGTAGCAAAAAATAAGGTCCGGTGGCTCAGGCGGCTGTAGTTGCTGTGATTTACACTGAAGACGGCCTTGGGCGGGCGGCGGCGGGCGGCGGCGGCGGCGGCGGCGGCGACGGCGGCGGCGGCGGCGGCGGCGGTGGCGGCGGCGGCGGCGGCGGTGGAGGCGGCGGCGGTGGCGGCGGCGGCGGCGGCGGCGGCGTGACGACGGTTTTCTGTTCGTCGCGTGCGTCAGTCACATGCCCCCCAGGAGGTCCGCTTTCAAGCGGTCGAATTCTGCCTGCTCGAGTGCGCCGACGTCTAACAGGGTCTTGGCTTGCGCTGGCTTTGCCGCGCAGTCTGCTGCGAGCCGCGCCCTCTTGGCGGCGGGCTCCTCGTTCTGGGCAGCGGAGGCGGCGGCGGCGACAGGTCCGGGCGCTGGCGCGCCGCCAGCCGGGGCGTTGCCTGCTGGGCCGTCCAGGAAGGCCTTCCCCTCCAAGTACAACCGGGCAGAGCAGTGGGGGCAGACCCGTTTCACCTCCTGGCGCATCTCTGCGGGGATCTCCTGCGGGAGCCAGAGGTACTTGATGCGCTTGCGCATCTGCGCGATCTCGTTCACCACCTCCTTGTTGTACCTCTTGAGCGTGACCTCGCTGGGGCTCGTCAGGAAGACCGGGGCGTCTCCTTCGAAGACAGTGTTCCCGCCCCGCTGCTTCGGCACCGCTACTTTCACAGGCGACCCCTCTAGGAAGTCCTTGAAGAATGCCCATGGCATCCACTCGGGCGCTTTCGAGTCGTACTCGAAGTCGTTCAGGAAGACTACCTCCGCGGTGAGCAAGTCCTCCAGCTGGTGGGGGCCGCTGTCGGGTCTTTCGTAGCACCCGAAGAGGCCTCGCAAACCCTTCAGCAAGAAGCTCTTTCCGCAGTCCGGCGGCCCCACCAAGCAGATGTTCCTCTGCTTGGCCCGGCCTGCTCTCATAGCCCCCAAGACCTCCCGCTGGAAGGGCCCGTCCAGTGAGTTTGCCCGAAGCACTTGTTTCATCATGCCGAAGCACCAGCCAGGGCTCGAGCACGAGCAAGTCTTCTTCGAGACGAACTCCTCCAGCAGCTGCTCGCGGGTCAGAGCTGCGCGCCGCAGCTTTTCCTTCGAAGCCGCAGCCTGGGCCACCTTGGCCAGGGTTGCCCGGGCGTCGTTGTCCACAAGGTGCGATAGCAGCGCCCTGTCGCCCTGCTCGTTGAGCTCGGTGGCCCTCGCCCAGACCTGGTCGTACGTGCGCAGGTTGTGCTCGACGCACGTGTCGTAGAAGGCTAAGTTGGTCATCCGGACTTTCCGGACGAAGCCTTCGCCCTGCAGCCGGCGAGGGACGACCTGGTTCACTGGCGTCGGCGTCCCGGCTTTGTGCCACTGCGCGAAGTCCGCGTCCAGGCCGGACTCCTGCTTGTGCTCGGAAGCCACCGTGCCGTAGATGACCCCCTCCTGCCACGTCTTGATATTCACACTTTTGGCCTCGCTCGACCCTGGAGGTGCTTGGCCGCAGCACGGGAGCAGTGCGGCGGCAGGGGCTTGCGGCGCTACGCTTTGGGGCGCAGGGGTTCTGCAGGACCTCCTAAAGGAGGGGCGGTGGTGCGAACGGCAACCGCCGCTGAGCAGCCCATCACGAGGCTACCCCCTGCCCCCATCCGGCTTCTATCGTTAGGCCGGACCTCGGAGAAAAAAACAAAAAAAAAACACGGCGGTGCCCCCGGGCACCCAGCGGCGGCAAGCGAAGAGGAAGCCTGGCGAGAGTCAGTACGCAAGAGGGGGGAGGAAGGAGGGGGAGGGACATGAGGGCAGTTCTACGTGCTCAGGCGCGCGCCCTGGGCCTGGTTGCCCTCGCAGACTTTGCCGGTTGCGCTGTTCAATGCTCCGCTTCTGCATGTTGCGTCGGTGGTGGTGGGGCGGTGGTGGGAGCCTCAAAGTGCTATGGCATGACAACTGCTGCATGCTTCACTGCTGATGCTACCTGCTCCCCCCTCCACGGCGGTCTTCGGCTAAGTGTGAATCACCGGGCCCCCTGCTCACACAAAAAGGCCATATCATTTCACACTTTTTGCCTCGCTCGACCCTGGAGGTGCTTGGCCGCAGCACGGGAGCAGTGCGGCGGCAGGGGCTTGCGGCACTACGCTTTGGGGCGCAGGGGTTCTGCAGGACCTCCTAAAGGAGGGGCGGTGGTGCGAACGGCAACCACCGCTGAGCAGCCCATCACGAGGCTACCCCCTGCCCCCATCCGTCGCCCCCAATTCCGACTTCCAGTTGCCGGAAGCCCCTGTGCCGCTGTACCTCTGGTCACGCCTGCAGAACCGCGCGCCTTCCAAGGTCGGCGGCCTGCTGCACCAGCGATTCTGTTGCATTGCGGGACCAGGCGCCCATTTCTGCAGCAGCTGTCTCAATGTACACGCGCGCTGTCCGCGTGCTGCCAACGCCCCACCACCATGACTCGGTCGAGGGATCCCGACAGCAACCACAACCATGTAGCACCACCTCTCCGGAGCCCGTAGGGCGTAACTGTGTCCCCACTGATGCCGAAGAACTGCGCCAGCCATTTGTACTCGTGCGCGAAATGGCTTGGTGGTTTGGTGTAGAGAGGCTGCGTGTGAGACCGGCCTGCAGATGCCGCCTGCAGGGCTTTGATGGCGACTGCGTCGTGGATGATGACGTGCTCGACGTTGCCGCCTTTTCTTTTGGCTGTTTTGGTGTCGTACAGCATAATTAGAACCTTGCGGCCATCTGGGCTGAAGTGAAGTTGCCCTGCTTTGAGTCCCACTATTTCGGCTGTTCGCAACAAGCCAAGGAATCCTGCAAGGAGGAGCGCGGCAAGGTCGAGTCGGTCATGCGACATGGCTGCGCCAACCATTGCTCCCAGGATGGCCCGGGGGAGCGGGAAAGCTCGCTTACGGTGTAGGACCGACCCCCAATTGTGCAGATATTGCCGCGCTGTTGGTATGGCCGCGCGGGCCCCCGGGTAGAAGCGTGACAACCCGCATATGGTGTCGCTGGCGTATCCGTGCGAATCACCTTCCTGCCACATGTGGTTTATGTACTCAGCGAGAGTAGAATCCAATTCAAACAACGATTGCGGAATGCGTATATTGTATGTCCGCAGGTAATAGAAAAATGATATCAGTGCTTTCGTGTATCGCTCTCTTGTCTTTGCTGTGATGCCTACTTCCCTCAGGTGTCGTTTTACCCCTGGTCGGGGCTTCTGGCGGCTAGCCTTCCCCATCGCCTGCGTGAAGGCGGCTCGCGGCGTCCGCGAACTGCCATTCTGATATGGTCCAGACACCGAAGGAGTAGGCATCCATTGCGAGTTCCAACGCCATGAGTTTCCGCCGCGGTCTGTTGAGGCGCCGGCTGGAACTGCGGCCTTTTGCGACTACAGCCGCGGCCACTTGGCTGTCAAAGACGTTGATGAATCGCAACGAGTGGTAACAACGAGAGCGAGACTTCTTTCGGACATAGTTTAAATACGCAATTAATTCCAACACGTTGATATGTTGTTTCGCTTTCCACCGGTACGACATGACAACGTGCCATTTCCAGGCGAATGCCGGGTAGGGCACAGTTTGCCGCAAATCGGCAACTTCGCTGGTGGACATCCACACATGAGCGCCTTTAGTGTCCGCCCACGAAAGCATGGACCGGAGGTGGGCTTGCTCCCCTCCAGGGACCATGCGTTGCAGGAGTCGCACGATCTCCTGGGCCGCTGGCGCTAAAGCGCCCTGGGTGCCTCCCCGGCGGGCGCGCGCCAGCTGGGTTTCGACCCGCGCTGGCTGGTCCGAGGGCGCTGCTGGCACGCCTTGTTGCCCGAGCTCGCGCAGTGCTCGGGCAACGGCGCGGGAGTATGCTGCACAGAACTGTTCCTGCGTGCGCGCAGAGGCGCCTCGCTGGGCGACCGTCTCTTCTGCCGAGAACGTTTGTTCAAGCAGGCGGCAGTTGTGTAGCAAACGCAGATCCGTGTCGCCCGCGGCGGGCGCGACGCCCGTCACGGTGACCCTGGTGCACAATACACCCTTGTAGCGGAGGAGGGACCGCACCCCTTCGCTCTGCCGCAGCGGGCTATCCCAAGGGTGTTGCACGACAGCGAAGCCCCAGTGCAGCACACGCCACAATAGCCTTTGGACTGCCAGCTGTCCGTGTGCGTCGGCGTCCACCACGCTTCGGCCGCCTAGCCCTGCCGCGTGCCGGTGGCGCGGGCCGGCGGCGTGTGCCAGGCGGCGCGCGCCCGCGTACGAGCCCCCAGGCACTGTCCAGTGCTCCCGCGCCGTGAACTCATCATCGGCCTCCAGGCGCACATGCTTTTGGCCGGACTCTGACAGCACTTGGGAGCCTGGCGGGCGGGATGGGTCAAGGGGAAGGCACACTTCGACCCCTGCGCGAGCAACGGCCCAAGACAGGCGGGCCTCTGGGCCTGACCCGCTTTCAAAAAAGCCGGGCAAACGCACGCCTGCGAGCGAACATCCTTGACGCCGATGCTGCAGCAGGCACTCCACGCAGCACGTCACGGCACCGCACTGGGCGGGGCAGACGGCCCCGCCTGCCCCGCGCGCGTCGGGGCGGACCTGGACCGCACACGCTGCGCACGTCTGCGGCCGCGCCGGGGCGAAGGCCGAGTCCTCAGCCAGTTTGGCAAAATGTGCCTCCAGGCGCGCTCCCCGTTGTGGGTCCACAGCGTGTGTGAATTGAGCTGCTTCCGCGGCCCCGCCGCCGTCCTCGGAGGCGTCTGTGCACGAAATGGTGCGCTTAACAGGCGCCCGGAGATTCGTGTGCGCGAGAGGGAGCAGACAAGCGAAGGCGATCATTTCGTCTATTACCGCTGCGTCTGCTGGCGCAGGCGCGTCCAGGGCGGTCTGGATAGCGGGGAAGATTTGCTCGAGGACAGCGAAGAGGGGTCGGCGGAAGCCAGCGGCGAAACATGCCTGACCCGCCCGGTGCTGGAGGGCGCCGGCCTGCCATTGCTGCTCCGTTGCCAGCACCGCGGTTTGGACCACCAGGGCGTTGGCCTTCTCTGGCGCCAACTTCAACCACCCCTTGTCTCCCAGAAGCAGGCCCCCCAGGATGCCTGCGCGCAACTGCGCCACTAGGGATTTGGCCGGGTTCAGGGGGATTCCGTGTTTGGCGCACGCAGCGACGAAATGCTGATGCTCCATGGACTCCACGATTTGCAACTTGCACAGGCGAGATTGCGCTCTCCGAACAAAGTCGAATCCGTCGAGGCACACGATGCTGACGTCACCGTCTGGGAACGCTCTGTCCCGCCGTAGTTCAGTGCGGGGGTCGGCGCCAACGATGTCCAAGACGAGCGTGCGGATGACTCGTTGCATGATGGAAACCGCAATCTTTGAACCCATGGCTACACTACGAATGCCGACCCAAGCCATACGGTTGGGGTCGTCACCGAAAGCCGCGGCAGATACTTGCTTAGAGTACGTACAATATCCTAGCCATTCGTCCGGGAGGCGGAAGATATTGAAGCATCCTTTTTGGTCCTCGGTATCGTCCCAGAGCTCCTCGCCGTCTTCGAGAATGCACGCATTGAGCATGGTGGCCGTGGGCAGGGTGTGGTCGTCCCCCCGCAGCTTGCGCATGTAGGAGTTAATCGGCGTGAAGATCGATATGAAACGCAAGAGGGTGGGGCCAGGAACTGGCCCTTTGGGGTGCTTGTCAATCCCCATTGCGCCGTTGACGACTGGCCGGCCTGCGGAATCTCGGAAAACGAGCTCGACTTCTGCGAAGATGCCTCGGGCAGCCCCTTCTTTGACAATCTTGTACCATTCTCTGTCGGACGCCCAAACGCGCGACCTCGGGGGTTCCTCCGGCCATTGCTCCGGAGGGAGCAGGCGCGATCTGGGGTCACGCACGTCGTCCAGCAGCTCTCCATCGAGGAACGACACCACGGGGACAGATGCAGCCTCGCCGCGCTCCGGCCAAGCAGGGGAAACTTTTTCGGCGACGAGCTCCCTCCGGACCGCCACGGCTTCTCCCGCGTAGTCCGTCTGGCGGGTGAAGAGGTCATGCTTGATGGCCGTTATGGACGGCAAGGGGCTTTCGCGGGACAAGAAATCCACTGCAGCTTCCCACAAGTGCTGGACGGAATGTCTTTGGGTGCTGGACAAATGGCCGGCACTGGCGCCAGGCTGGTCGTCGGGGCCCTCTGGGGCCCCGGCCCACGCGCCCGTTCCGAAGAAGTTGAGGGACGTGACCATGCACCATACTGCCGCACGGCAGCGCGATGCGAACTTCGCGGCGTGTCCTGCTGCTACAGACAGGATCTCTGCGTGCTGCCGTGCAGCTGTGGCCGGAATCGGCAGAAGATCGCCGCGGGGCTGGGTGCCCGAGGGCTGCGTGCCCGAGGGATGCTTGGGCTGCGTGCCCGACGATTGGTGGTCTAGAGGCTGAGTGCCCGAAGGAGGGTCGAGCGAGGCGACTCGTCCGAGCTTTGTTGGTAGGTACGGCATTGAATCTTCAAACAGTTCCCACACTTCACTGTTGCCGTCGAGATGGTGGAGCTCGTCCAACAGCGTGCTCTGCCACGCAGACAACGGCGCGCCACTGCGCGCCGAGCAGGCGGTGGCGACGGCGGTTCGCACGGCCTTTTTGGCTTGGCTTTGACCGCGTCGAAGCAAAGGGGAAGGGGGAGGATCGGGTCGGGCGAAAAGGGGGGCGATAGCAAAGGGGGGGTTTGAGAATCAGCTCACGGAGCTGATTTTCCAGGCGCCTCCCGGCGCCGGGAGGCGCCCATGTATCGAGGAACGGGGCCCCCCGGCGGGGCCGAAACCAGCTGCATGCAGCAGATTACGTACCCCCCCCTTTCCCACCCACCCCCTTTCGCCCGGCCCGAGAGGAGAGAGACGGGGAGGAGGGGCAGAGTGGAGGGAGGGGGCAGTGCGCTCGACAGTAACGCCTTCAGCGCTTGTCTGAATTCCAGTTCCTTTGCATGCCGGGGCATCAGCTTGGCCCGGGGGGCCCTTGGCACGCCTTCGCCGCGGCACGGCCCAACGCCCGGAATCGACATCCAGGGCGGGCCGGGGCGGGGCCAGCGCGTGGCTCGCTACCGCCACTTCCCCTTCGCTTTGGAGCTCCCCTTCGCTGAGGCCTTGCCGGAGTGCGCGGGGCCTTTCCCCTGAAAAGGGTTGCCCTTGCCAGCGTTCTGGCTCTCCTCCAGGCTGACCTCCCTGTGGCCGCTCCTTTGGCTGCCTTTGCCCTGGCCCCCTTGGGGCCGAAGCGCCAGCTGCTGCTGCGCCTTCGTCTCGCTGCGCATCATGTACGTCTCCTTCCTGCTGACGAGCGTGGCCGAGTCGTCCTTGACGAGTTCGAGGAAGCACGCGCGCTCCCACGACTGGTCCACCACCGACTGCTCGACGGCTTTCAGGTGCTGGACTATGAAATCCATTGCCTTGTCTGCTTTGTTCTGGACGAGGAGATCCAGGAGCTTGCACATGAGGGCCATGTCGTTGCGGTTGCGCTTGGACAGGTTGTACTTCACCTCGAGCACCCTGAGAAAGTAGGCCGACGCCGCCGCCGGAGGCTCCTTCTTGTGGTCGTCGCTGTCGCTGTTGGCCTCTCCCCCAGGAGTCACCCTCTGCGCCATGGTCCACATGGCGCTCCTGGACAGTCTCCCCGGGTGCTTGCGCGCGAAGCGCATAAGACGTTCCTGCGTGGACTTCTGTCGAACGCCTTCTGAGGTCGAGGCCACGTGAAAACCCATCTCGCACGAGTCGCTGCAGCTTGACTCGCTCCTGGGTTTACGCCGGCGGGGGCTGCGCGACCCCCGCGGGGCCCGCCTGCGGCGCGACCTGCTGCGGGGCGACGGGCCGCGGGGCTCCCTGCCCCGGTCGCCCGGCGAACCCCGTCGGCCCGAGGGAGCCGCGTCGGCGTCCTCCCGGGCTCGCGGTCGCCCGTCCCGCGGGGCGGGGGCCGCCTCACGGCGGCCCTGCGGCGCTCCGCCAGCGTCGTCGCGCTCGGCCGGCGAGCGCCCCCCCCGCGCCGCGGGGGCCGCGTCGCGGCGGCCCCGCGGCCCCCCGCCAGCGTCGTCCTCGGCCTGCCTGCGCCCGCCCCGGGGCGCGGCGACCGCCTCGCGGCGGCCGCGTGAACGGCTCGGGGGGCGCCGGTCGGCCCTCTGCTCCACCCGTTCCCCCCTGCCGCGGTCGCGGCCCTCGCCGGCCTCCAGCCGCGAGCGCAGGTCAGAGAGGCCTTCTCTGACGCTGCCGTGTCGGCGGTCGTCGTAGCCTCCCCTGGCCCACAGGGCGCCGTCCGGAGCTCCAGCGCCGCCCGCGCGCACAGAGCCAGGACCAGCCGCGTCGCCGTCGGGGCGCGTTGCCGGGGAGCCAGGGCGGGGCCGCACGGCCCCGGGCCCCTCCAGGGAGCCACTGATCCTTTCAAGGATCTTCTTTTTCAGGCTTGGCTTAGAAGCCCACCCGATTTTATCTTCTTTTATGTCGTTCTGGCCGAGTGGCCGCCACGACTGGATCTGTATCTTATCCTGGTTCTGGTGACGTTTCCGGCACGCGTCCCCACTGAGGCCGCACACGTGGTAGATCTCTTCTTGAGACCATAATTATGGAAAGCATCCACCATGCGTAGTAGTCATCCTCGGCGGCAAGGAACTTCCCCCTGACGTTAACGCCCCCTGTCGGAGCGCAGTCGGCCCAAATGACCTCCAGGATGCATGCCCCTTGCGCCTCGCCCTTGTCGTCGTAGGCGGCCGCCTCCAGCAGCCCGCCTCTCATAACTTCCTCCAGGAGCTCCCCGTCCGCTAGGGTCCCTGCCTGGATCCATGGCCCGGCCATGCGGCCGGGAGAGACCGTTGCACCAACTCTCAATTCAGTAATCGACACGACAATTCAAAACTCAATTACCTCATGAGCCTCAAAGTGCTATGGCATGACAACTGCTGCATGCTTCACTGCTGATGCTACCTGCTCCCCCCTCCACGGCGGTCTTCGGCTAAGTGTGAATCACCGGGCCCCCTGCTCACACAAAAAGGCCCTATCATTTCCTGCCGAACCCGACGTGGATCCGATGGTGCTCAAGCAAACGTTTGGCGACTGGCAACCACCTGTACTGCTGGTCACGCCGACCGAGCAGGTTCAAGTGCGGGCGGCCATCCGCGTGCGGCTCCAAGAAGCATATCGTCTCCACGACGTCCAAGTCGCAGTGGGCATGCGCTGCCACGCGCGCCTCTCTGAAGGCTTCTCTGGTGAAGTCGTTCGGCTTCTTGATCCCCTGCGCTGCGACGGTCTCCTCGGAGGGGCAGGCCATGCACATCCAGTTGACATACTGCCCGTTATGGCCGGACCCGCGCTGGGCGGGGCCGTCGAGGCGGGGGGCCGCCATGGCCTGGCAGGCCCAGAAAATCCTTAAGCCGAAATGGGATACGGCGCGGAGGCGAGCAGAGGGAAGAGGAGAATGGAGGGATATGGAGGTGCGGGGGCATCGCATGGAGAAAGCTGGAAGTCCGAGCATGGGATCGGGAGAACCTGCAATGATCCGCGTGGAAACGAATGGCCGCGCGTAATGCCTGCGAGGGGTATGACGGCCACGCGGATGTGCAGTTCGGCCTTCCAGACAGCCTCAGGATTCCTCTTAGATTTCAACTTTGGGTATTCTGCTCGCTTGCGTTCAGACACACGCTCATGCATACTCACTCTTCCACGATCACTCCCGCCCACGCCAGCACACGCCCAGGCCCACTCATATCCCAACACCACTCGCGTCCAGACCCAACTGGTCTCGCCCTGCGCAGGGGCTCACTCGCGCGGAGCCACTCAGACTCCCTCCGCCCCGCGCAGGGGCTAACTCGCACAGAGTCACTTGGACTCCCCACGGGGTGACACCTGCCGAGGGCACGCGACAACCGCCCTCCAAGTACCTTCAGCACTCTGGGAGGCCCCGAGGCCTCCACTGGGATCCCCACCGCCTGTCTTGCCGCTCGGGCCGTGGCGTCGGTAATCCCGAGTTGCTGAAGGCCCCAGGGGGGGTCTTCGCGCGCCCTCGGCGGGTGTCTACTGGAAAAAAGAACGCAACATTAAAAATTCTAACAGATGCGAGAGCGCGCGAGCGCGCTTTCTTTGGGGCAGCGACGCCAGTAAGAGCGCGGGGGCAAGGGTTTCGCGAGTGGGGCGGGGTTCGAATCCTCAGAGAAACCTGAGCCTGTCTGTTGGTGCCATTCCCCTGAACTGAAATTCGAAACTGTCTGGGCTGGCAACTGGCGCGTCGATGATGATGCCACTGCTGCTGGTGGCAATGACGACGATGGCGACGATGATGAGGCAAGCGAGTCCGATGATGACGCTTTTTCCAGCTCAGTGCTTCGTGCGCGCGCCTGGAGGCTTCGCCTCCCAGACGTCCTGCGCCCACTCCTTCTGCGCGTGGCACAGGTACCACAAGTATTCCGCCCTGTTCGCATTCACCCACGCAACGGCGCGGTGCAAGCGACGCAGGAAAACTGGGCGAGGCTCCGGCTTCGCCGGCATCGTGCCGTCCATTCGTGCCTTCACTTCGCGCCAGGCCACCTCGATGGGGTTGAGGTCCTGGCTGCACTTCGGGAACTCCTCCAGGAGGTGGATGTTCTCGTCCTCCAAGGCGTCCTGGGACTCGTCCGACCACAGACAGCGCTCGTGGTCCTGCACCAGGAAGACGCGCGTGGCTCGGGAGTGAGCCGCGTCCAGCCACTCGCGGAACTTGTTCTCGATGGTCCAGGTGTACCACTCCGTGTTCATGACCTCGCCCTGGGGCAGCACGTAGACGCAGAGCATCCCGGCGAAGAGCAAACCCCAGATGCGCACGCAGCGCCCCTGGGCCTTCGCATATGAGGAAGGACCAACGCAATCCTGGTAGAGCGCGTCGTGGCCATCTGCTGCCCGCCACACGTGAGTTCCAAGGGCTGCCCGCCCCTTGTCCAAGTGCTCCTCGGCCGTGCGCGCCAAGTAGAAGGACGTTCCGTCTGTGTACGCCCACCGCGAAAGCATGGCCGGAGTCTGTGACACCGTGAATACCACTCACGCCAACCTGGCCGCCATGTGCTCCTGGGACAAGAGCGTCTTCCGCCGGCGGCGCAACCAGCGCAATCCAGCTTCCCGAAGGCGCCTCTGCACTGTGCGGACGCCGACTTTGCGGGCCGCCTTGATCACCTGGCGGACGTAAGTGGCGGTCACGACGGCGCTGCCGCGCATTTTGTGCACCAGCTTGGAGATCTCCCTGTCGA